GAAAAACGGTGCAATACGGGCAAGAGCGCAGCAGTCGTGGAGGGCCGGCCATCGATACGCCCATCAGTAACTGCACAGGGATATGTACCGGTCCGAAAAGCGAACTGCACACGACGCTTGGGTCGAGGTAGTGAAAAGTAGCATGGAAAGGTGGACAGAGGCTGGATGAGGCGATGAAGCCAGTCTTGGCCTGACCCAATAATGAAATCACGCAGAAAGGGAGGTACATATGCAGGTAGAGAGAGTAGATTGCTTCTGTCCAGAAGGCAACGCTGTGTGCGCGACGCAAAAGGTCGACGGGTCACGGGAAAGCTATGAGGGAAGACATTGCCAAAGAAAGGAGAAGCAGTGAATAAACGCTGACGTGCATGCAAGAGAATCCGCGACGGGCATTGTCATGTGTGTAGCCACGCCATGGAAGAAGACACAGAGGCAAGGGCAAGAGCGAGAGGGGGGGAGGAAGGGGGGGTGCATCATGCAGCAACAAATGATGACGAGTGCGTATATTGGTGTCCCACCGTGACGTGAGTGTATCAGCAAAGCCGATCGACTGATCGTTCGTTCATTCGTTCGTTAACCTCACGGGGACCTTGCCCCCCGGCCCCCCGAAGGGGTACGCAAGAACGAGTCTGTGTGATGCAGGCCTGTCTACCCAGCCATCCCTATGGTCCACCACAAAAGGAAAGGCACTGGCACCGGCCGACACACAGATGACAACAGAGGGCACAGGTGACGAACACTTCCCCTGGCTACATACACAAGAACGGGCGATATCGCACGCCTCTGTGTCCTCGAGGGACGCGAAAGAAACGACGGACACCAGACGACTCTGTCTGTGTCCTCGCACCGATCAATCAGTGCAGCAGCTATTGAACGGTTTCACGGCAGCTACCCTACGCATCCTAGTGCCACTCCTCGGCTGGTCCTCGCGGCGCGCGGAGATCCGTTTTGCAGACAGTCCAGTGAGATCCTTAGGGTAGCTAGTCTAGACTTCCTCCCGAAACTTGCACCATGGGTCCACTGGAGGAATTGAACCCATGATGACCGGAGTGGATAATCGACTTTGGTGCGACATTTTGCCTGGCGTCCTTTCCCGATCGCCTCCCATTACTCGGGGGCCCCTCCCCCCTCGTAACCGTTCGTCGAGCTGCGTTCGCGGCGAGGCCCATCGAGGCGGACATGAGCAGCGTGTAACACGGACAATGAGGATGAGATCATCATCATGAGAGCATGCTTGAATCAAGCATGAAGGGAATTGTCGGCTGTGTTGTGGCTCATTTTAGGACAGGAGCGTCTCTTCAGTGTAGGTCCCAGGAAGGAATCAACGCCGAGATAGCAGAGTGGATTGCCAAATCAGCCAAGAGCCAAAAAACCCCTGTTGTGTCTAATGACGGACAAGGGCCGTACTGGCTTGATACCAGCACAAACAAGGTGTTGGGTTTTGACAGCAGGGTTTGTGCTCTCTCTTTCGTGCTTTTCCGGTGAGCGTTGGCAGCTCTCGTACGTGTGTTGCTTGGCGGGCTGGCCATGCCCATGATGGACTCGTGCGTTGCGTGCCTTGCGTAAAGGCTTGTACGGCAGAGATTGATCCCTCTGACCACGGTGTGTGGTTGGCACACAGCAACTTCAACACAAGGAAACCCTCCCGTCTTGCCCTAGTCCCTCTGTTTTCTCTGTTAAGGTGTGGACGTCGATTCGAATGACCCTGACCACGACTTCACCAGAGCCAACGTACTCTGGGGCACGCTAATGGCTGGCGGGGCCGGCGTCGAATTCTACTTTGGTTGGGGTTTTCGCTGGCACCAAACTGGCGAGAAAGACCCGATAATAGAAAATGACGACAGATACCAGCCACCCGTACTCGACGTGCTCGGACGTCACCTGTGAAGCCTTTGGAAGCCGTGACAAAATGATCACGCAGGCGTATGTTGCCTGGCGCTTCATGAAGGACAATCACATCCCCTTTTGGGAAATGACTGGAAGTAATCACCTGACGGAGCAAAAAGACGATTTCGTCTTCGCCAAAAAGGGCGATATCTACCTCGTCTACACCTTTGCCAATGCGACGAGAGTAGAATTCAGTGTTGTCGGGAACATTGCTTACTCCATCCATTATTGGAACCCCAAGACAGGCGGCGATCTTATTGATGGGGGAGTGGTCATGGCTGACTTGATTGGTGGAGAGATAAGCAGGAGAATGTCCATCCCGATTCCACAGACGTCACGTATTGGCTCGTCTGATGTGCTGATAGTGGACCCATCAGTGGTAAGGAAGGCCAATAATAAATCAGGGGGCCCGACAAACACAAGGTATGTTGTAATAATGTGAGGGGTGTGAGTATCGCCTTTGATTGTTGTATACGCTATTCATTTCTTTAGAAAGCGAGCTAGCTTACTTTTTATCGATAAAAATAGCGGTGAGAGTTATGTGGACGAGAGATGATAGATCATTTTTGTCGAGACCTTTTCCATCGGTGCCGTCTTTCTCTACATGCAGCCCCACGCTGGCTGGCTGTTCCCACCGGCGCAAGAGTGGCGCGTGCCGCGGACAGCGCAGCGAGAGACGACAGATAGTCGCCTTCCGGGCACCTGGGTGTCGTGAGACAACACAGCCCATGCCCATGGTCGTTCCATCAGTAGTGGGATGGGGCTTGCAGTAGGCCTGTGATTTTGTCACAAACGACATGTTTCTAGCTCGAGACACAGCAGACGAGGCGGGTACGCGCATACAAAAAACGATCGATGCTTCGTAGAACGATTTACATGAGTCAAAATACGTACACAATACGGACGACCCATAATGGATGGATGCACTATGTGTTCGACGCTGTGATTCGTCGACGGCCCCGACGGTTGGAAGGTGCAGACGCACAGTCAGGTCTCTGCCCTCTCTGATTGTCGGCGTGGCGCAAGAAGGCGCGGTCAGGGACAGAATGGATTGGCAATCCCTCGTGAGCCCCGCCGCCGATGCGAAGACAGTGAGGCAATTGTGACGAGTCTACGACGACACGAGTGGAACATCGGGATGAAGCGGCAGAGTGACGGGCGCGCGGATTCTAGAGCAGCCGCGGGGAAGAAGTAAGACGTCTCGGCACATTCGGTTGCACACCAGCGCACGCAACCCCCGCTCGCTTGCACTCGATGACTCACGATGCTATTGGTTGCGATGAGCAAGCCCAAACAGTCCAGACATTGAAGCGACACGAGAGACACGAGAGACGCGAGAGACCCAACGCGTAAAGGATAGTGCGACTCCGCAATCATGCGCCACTTTGTCAGGCAGCACGGTCCCGATCGAAAGCGTAAAGAAGAAGCTCAGGCAGCTGGGGAGGTATGTCTTGTTGACGAACCGGAAGACGCTCTGGACCATAAATGAGATTAGCGAGGCTTCACAGGTCGAGAAACGAGGTTGCCAACGACAGCAGAGGCATGCGGCCTCATACGACGAGCACAATATACGGCCAAATCCCACGACGCACATCACGCTAAATTACGGCTGCGATCCATCACGTACCATCGACAGCTGTTAGAAGCTGCACGAGTTGACACGACGCAGTTGCCTTCAGCCTCAGGACGCCAATACTTGTGTCAGACACGACTGAGCATACAGCTACGACCTTGAAACCGATGGCGTGGCGCACACGCACGATAAGCTTACAGACAGTCAATTGATGAGAAACCCCCGCTTCCACTCGACGACGTGGCTGTATCGACAGAGGGCGACACAATCGCGCACGGGCACGTGCCCACAGTCGACCTGCGTAGCCAGAAACGCACGAGGCATGCCGCTTTGCTTCGCCATGAATTCGTTGTCTCCCAACAAACACGCCGCGTTGCATTCATAGGGGTAGTTCGCCGCAACAGACAAGGGAAATGGCTACCAAGAGCATCACAACGACGACGAGGAAAGATGCGAGAGCAGCCGAACACCTTTCCGACGCCGACGCGACAATAGAAAGGAATCCCGTTTGACGACGACTTCTCCCCTTCCGCTCGACAAAGCACGCACCATCGTTGCGTCTTCGTCGTCGACTTACGCGTGTCGACTCGATAAGCCACACATCCTCGCACCGATAACAAGACGGAGCCTCCCACGGCAGAGGACAAACGATTGGACGACGGCTTTTTGTTAACCCCAGCTGAGATCGACGGAAGACGCGCAGCTCCACAACACCCATACCTTCGCCCACGAGCCGGCGCGTGACGCAGCCACACTTTGTGACACACGCAGAACTTGAGATGGCGGAGACGTATAGTCTCGCCCGAGGATGCACCCGAAATCGGGTTAATGATCGACGCACAATGGACCTGGACACGAGCGCGCTGCCTTGAATGCTGTAAATCGACAGACAAGACATCGTCCCCCACGGCGCGTCCAGATCAAGACGTGTAGGTCAATAATCTAAGCAGCCGCGAATCGGCGACGGCATGCTTAAGACCGTTAAATTGGCGCTGCTGCACTCCGACGAAGAGAGTTTCGTTCTCCTCCAACGTCCGAGGAACGCGCATTGGCAGAGACACACAAAATCAAATCGACGGCGTGCACAACTGCGAATTGGCGAGGGCACGCAGCCCTGAGTACGACCACGATCGCTGAGATGAGCGGAGACATAATTCGATGGACGAGCGTTTCATGTCTCCCCGCAGTCCACAGACGCAGCAAGGACTGAACCGCGAAAGGTCGGTGACGCGCTGCGAACCGGCAAGAGCAAGCCGCCCCGAAGATGATAAAGACCGCTCTTAGTGAAACAGATGAGAGTTCGCTCCCCTCGACGCGCCCAGTCGTGGAACAGCCGAGACTCGTATATAGTCGCTTGACTAAGTAGCCGCGGATCGGCGAGGACACAACACACCTCGCGTACAATAAGGTCGTTGTCCCTCGACGTCCCCGGGACGCGGAGCGGCGAAGACATCCAAAATCGAATCGACGCGGGACACAGAGGAAGACACGACTGGGTGCGCAACCGCGAAGTGGCGAAGGGTACGCTGCCCTGAGTACGACCCGATCGCTGCGACGGCATAGACGTACTTCGACGTACGAGTATTTTCAGCGCCTACAGACGCAGAACGAGTGAGACGCGCATAACCAAATCGGCCCGTACGCAGACGTGAATTGATGAGAGCAAGCTGCCCCGAGTGCGATACGACCGCTGTCGTAATGCGACGGATGAGAGATCGTACTCGCCCAACGCCCCCATAACGCACAGCAACCGAGACAGACGAGATCGAATGGGCGGCCGATGCCGCTGCGACACGTCAAAGGCACGCTGCCCCGAGTGCGATACGCCCGACGTCGCGAATCGACGGCTGAGAGTTCATTGAAGAGGCGCCGTGCGAGACTTCTCTTCATATCGATGAGGATACACGACGATGACGCAACACCTGCACTCCGGCGATAATACTCGAGGCCGTCGGTCCAGAGGAAGACCATGCATTTCAGGTCTGACATCGCGACGACCTGAGGAACCGTAGCGACCGAAAGCCGTCGTAGATACGAATATAGCCGTCGTCACTCGTGCAAGACGATCGAAGCGAACACTCGTCAAAGTCGAAGTGCGCCGGTGCGACTGCATATAGCCGCTCGGAAAACCCGTACGCTCGTAGCGATAAGTCGATGATTAGAGTAATGATACGAGTAGATGTCGGACGTGGGTGTATAAGGGAGAGGCACACAGACAGGCAGGATGTATGTGGCTGCTAGCCTGCGTACTTGCACGTGCAAGGACAGAGTCAGACGGTCAAGCACCGAAGCGCCATCAGGGCCATTGGTCCATCGTGATCTGCAGAGCCTCATTCCCGTTGTGGCGTGGCTGCCTGCGATACACCCCGTGCAAGCCTCCTCCCCTGGATTTGATTTTTTTTTAAGTTACTCCCCTTTCTCTATTTTTATTTGAGATTTTTTAAAATAACTCCTTTGATTTTTTGAGGGGTTTGCGAAGTTTTAAAATGGAGATGGCTGGTTTGGAGGTGGCGAAGTGAAGAGGGTTAAACGTCTTTTCACTGGCTAAAACAAGCCTCAAACGTGCTTTCAATGCCTAAAAGAAGCCTGAAAATAGCATTTCC